TCAAAAATAAAATTTGCCTCTAGGAGGTCTTTTACAGCATTTTTCAGCAGCCTCCTCTTTCTCGGGAGACTTCCTACGCCTACGTTGTACTCTTGCCCTAGTGGATGGATCAATAGCCAGTTGGTGGCAGGCGACCTTGGGATCGAGACCGGGCATCTCCGCAGCACTCCACACGAACAGGCCCGCATTCTCCCTCAAGCAAGCTTTGATCTGCTTCCTCTCCAGGTAGGGGAGTTATGTGCCAATCTTCACTCTTTTGTGAGGGTCTTCTCTGAGGGGGACGAACTCATAGTCTTCGTTTGGGATTGGTCGGAGGAGTCCCTGCTCGCTGTTGGGTGCTTCATCCTGGTCGAAGCGGGTGTCTAATGAAATGGAGTCGGCCTTGGGAAGAGCTCTTTGTTCTTCCGTCTTGATGGGTTATGGATTTGGTCGTGCCGTAGAAGCTCTCTTGGTGGGTCGTGCTCTAGTGTCGACCGTACTCTGTCCCTTTGACGTTGCATTGAAGCATCTTTGGGAAGCTGCGAGGTCACCTTGGATGGCGGCGACGCGTCCTCTCTTCATGTAGAATTTCATTTTTAGATGGACGATGGAGGGAACAACGGTCAATTCCTTTAGTGTTAGTCTCCCTAGGATACAGTTGTAGAGAGACGGGCAGTCGATGACCAAAAACCGCACCTTGACTTTCTTGGTGGCGGTCTCCTTGCCGAAGGTGACTAAGAGCTCCATGTACCCCCACAGTTTAGAGGTCGAGCCATTGAAGCCCTGCAGGTTGGACCCCACGTATGGTGAAAGGTGGGTGTCATCGAGCTGTAGGGTTCGGAAGAGTTGGCTATACATTACATCGACGAAACTCCCTTCATTGACCAAGACGCGATGAACGTAAAAATTAGCCATCCTTGCCCTAACCAGAAGAGGGATGCTTGAGTTAGGGGGCCCTCCGGGAAATTCTTTGAGGTAGAATGTGATCGGCTTCGATCTTCCCTTGACCCTCTTGAATGTCACCATTTGCAGGGGGCCGCGTCGACCAGCTCGTCCAGCTTCCTCTTTGCGGAGTTTATAGTTATGTCGTTGAACCCCCCGCCATTTATAACCATGGCGGAGGGGAATCTTTCCCACCTACTGTGCATGGACAGAGGCTCTTCGATGTCATCAGGGACGTAGAAGTCCTCTAGTCTTGTATCGGAGAATGATGTCTGGATGGGGACCGTCTCGTCTGATGGTCAGGCATCCTCCTCAGTCTCCTTAGTGTCGCGGGCATCTCGACGAGGGGCGTCGCCGCGCCAATATTTCTCGAGTCTTCCCCCTTTAATGAGGGTCTCAATAGCATCTTTGAGATGGACACAGTCTTCAGTCAGGTGTCCATGACTTCGATGATACTGACGGTATTTGCTCCAATCAGCCCCAGGCTTAACAGGAGCATAGCGAGGACGTCTGACGCCACCATCTTTGAAATCAATATTAGCACACTCCCCCAAGATGCGCTCGCGGGAAGCTGTCAGCAAAGTGTACTCAGTAAATCGCCCCGCGGGCCCTCTTTGCTCGCGAGGATCCCGTGGTTTGTCATCCCTCATCTTCTTGCCCGTTCGTCGAGGAGGGCCCAAATCTTGTTGTCGCGGATTGTTGGTTGATGCACGATTTCTTGGGTCGCGGGCTCTATTGGCTTTTTCCCTCTCCTCATAGTCCATGTAGACCCTAGCCTTTTTGAGAAGAGCATCGAATGTCCGGGGTGGTTCAATGCCAACGACCTTCCTGAACTCCATGCCCGGGAGGAGTCCCCTCTCAAGCAGGTATCTCTTCATATGATCGATACAAGGGACCTGAACGGACTCGCAATTGAACGGATCAATAAACTCCCTGAGGGTCTCGTCGCTTATCTAGACGATGGCCTCGAGGGCTGCCTCAGTCTTCGAGTGTCGACGTGAGACATGAGCTGATGAACTGGTTTTTCAAGTTTCTCCAGGAGGTAATTGACCCCGGGGCGAGGTTCTTATACCAGTCCATTGCAGTATTTCTTAGGGTCGTGGAGAACAACCGGCATTTAATCGGTCCCGCGATGTTATGATAGTGCAGCATTGCCTCAAACTCGTCGATATGGTCGACTGGGTCGGCAATGCCGTCGTACTCCTTCAAATGGGGAGGTTTCTCCATACCCTGGGGAATGGGTGCCTCCATAATAGCCTGGGATAGGGGACCGTAGGGATCATCTTAGTCACTTCTGTCTGGAGATCGAGAAGGCGACCTGTTGTAATGGCGGTCGTGATGACGGCCCTGGTCGCACGGAGGATCCCTTAGGCGGTGTCATTTTTCGTCGTTTCCCCTATTTCTATTTCCAGGGGGTCTTTGCTCTTGACGCGGGGGGATGTGATCACGTCTCTCCGTATCTACGGGCTGATCCTTCTCCAACGCGGGGCGTCGCCCAGTTCGTCGAGGAGATGGGCTTCGAGAGGTATCCCATCTGTGTCTCCGTAGGGGAGATTGGGGACGGTCCTCTATCTGACGGGGAGGAGGAGAATCAGGCCTCCTATGTCTTCTGGGGGCTCTTCGAGAATCTTTGAGCATTCTTAATCTCTCCCCTTACGAAAAGATCAAGTAGTTTGTTTGATTTATTGCCGCGAATAGTGCCCTGGTCGTGGCATTAGCACCCGCAGGAAAGGGGACCTCCTGGAACACGGGCGACTGGTAGTTCTGGAGAGGACGACGATCGTCTTCGAGTCGTCGAGACAGTGATGACGACGAGGCAGTCAGTCTGTCTCTATACTCTGAGGGACCGGGCATGTCATCGACGTATCCGTTGTTATTGCCGGTGTTATTATTGTTACCGGTGTTGTTATTGTTACCGGCGTTGAGGCCAGCGGGACCAGCATTGTTGATGCTGATGTTGTGGTCGGCGACGTTGTTGTTGACGTCGGCGAAATGGACATTCGGGTTGTTTTCTGCCGTGAGATCAACCATGACGGTCGAAAAGGAGTTGGATTAGCTTTTGTCTTGGATGAATGAAAGACTGGGAAGCTGTGATTCCCATAGACGGCGCCACTGATCGTATCTGACCAGAATGGACCGTCACAGCTTACTTCGAGCAGTACATGAAAGTGAGGTGGGGGTACCTGCGAGATATTCTGATGCCAAAGTGAGATTCGAATGAGCTAGCAAGCAAGAGTGAGTAAGAGATGTTCAATACCTGACCCTCTCGAAAGAGAGAGTATTTATAGCCCTCAGCGCTGGGCCAAAGTCCCCATTGTTGGCCACGTTGAGGCCCAATAATGGAGACTGCCAGGGCTTACGTGTGTATGGAGTTCAGCAAGTAGACTCCCCCCTGGTCAACTGCTTCGTGAGAATAGAAGTTGGACCCGTGACTTTTGAAGGGCAGTTAAGATGATTGTAATATGGAGACGTGGACCACGTTCTCGAACGAATGTGTGGGGAGTTGCCAACGGTCCCTAACTTGGACAACTTACTTTTGGACCTTATACAAGAGTGTTGGATTGGGCCTCCCAACCGAGGGACAAGTGCAAGCCCAGTCCAGATCAGAATATATCTAATTATTTGTTGCTCATGTGGTTAGTTGCATAAATAAATAATTTTTAAAGTTAATTTTAATTTAATTTAATTAATTAATATTAATTATAAAATTTGGGAATACTATTCTCCATGTGAAATAATATAATTAAAATTAATAACTAAGTTAATATTATAAATGATTAATTAGTGAAAGAAAAGTTAATTTTTATTAAATAAATATAAAAAAATTATCAAGTTAGTGGAAGAAAAATTAATATATAATTAAAATGAATAATTAAACTAATATGATAAATGATTAGTTAGTGAAAGAAATATTAATTATTTTAAATAATATAATTAAATTAATATAATAAATTATCAAATTAATCTTAATTTTGGCGTTAAAAGTTTAATGATTTAACAATTTTAATTAATAAGATTTTTTAAATTTCAAAAGATATTAATAAAAATAATGAAAATTTCGACTTAAAAATCAAAATGAGTTTTTTTTTTCGAGAAATTTTTTATAACATTATAAATATGTCTGCTAAATAATCATTCAAAAATACACATCGATTCAACAACATAAACTAAAACTACGTGCACAATAATTTTGTAAAGATTAAAATATAATTTTGTAGAGAGAATAGTGAATTTACTAACTTATCCTGGTTAATTATTGATATATTCAAATTAACATTAATATTAAGTAAAAAATAATAAATAAATAATATTTATTAGAAAATACAATCGAAAGATTAAATATAAAATTATATTAGTAATTTAAAGTGAACAAATTTTTTGGAACAAATTTTTTTCCTAAATAAGACGCTTAATTTGGGACTGATGGAATATCAATTTTCTTTATAGGAATAAAAAACAAAATTTAGTAATTTATAAGAAACAAAAACATATTTAATTCTAAATAAAAATACAAACTATCACCACTTGATTACGAGTAAGGGAGTTGCGTGATTGAACTCTTTATGTTGTCAAAAGCCTAACCATGAACAAAGATAACAAAGATTATTTGCACAATGAAGAAACTTTTAAAGCTTGTCCATTGAATCTGTTTGTGCCTGTAAATAGAAACGTAAAAAACTATGCAATAGCAGTGTTCGACATAAAGTGGCCAAATGGCAGCAGAACATTTCGTCGACAATGTCCAAGGCTCAAAATGTACCAAAACCTTTTAGTCCTTACAGAAAACCATTTACTTACTGAATACAAAAAGAAACTGCAGTTTTATACCACCTATTACCAAGGTGTTAGAGAATAAAAACTATAAAGCATCTGTGACATGAAACCAAAGTAAAGTTTACATGCTTGCAAGCATGAAGAAACATGAATCAGCACAAACCCACATTATTTTTCATCTACTCTGTTAAACCAGCGATGAACGTTGGGATTAGGTACAACAACACCGAGGGCCTGCAAATATCAATAAATCATCAAACTGGAGTGAAAATATGGCAGGCTGTTGTTGTAAGATACCAGGAAAATCAAGCCACGGCTGTCAGGCATGGATGAAATGCAGTACCACATGCTATCCACTGCCGTTTCCTCCCGTGCGGCACCACACACCCGGGAACCTTCAGCCATTCCTTCTTTGCTATGTTGTAAGTAACCAACCGATTCATTTGTTTTGATCTCAAGGACAACATGAGCAAGCCTTTGTTACCCAGGCAAGTCATTCTAACGTGCTTACCATAAAAGTCCAAGCACCATACATTTGGCATTCTGTCTACCTCCTTCCACAAGAGCGTCATTTTCTGCAGCTCCCATATGCATACACACGTGGCTGCATTCTTTGTGAGCAATCCTGCAAGCATGATTTGGCCATCATACTCAGCCAGAGTGTGGTCAGTCAGATGCAATGGCACTGGGATTATGTATTGTTTCCAAACTCCCGTTGCCATATCATAAGAAACAACCCCTTCTGGATCTGAACGCATGAAGTAAAGTGTACTGTTAATAGAGACAGCTTGTGACCTAAAGTTAAGGGCCAATGGCAGCTTCACATTTCCAGGCATGTTTCCTGGACGGCTCCAAGAGTTTTTCACCGAGTCATAAACTTCATGTTCTCCATCACAACCCACCCATAGGATCTTGTAGCCTGAACCAGCAGATTTTTCATTCGCAATCATCCCTACAGCAACGCGAGACCAGACCCTCACTGACCGAGCTGGCAACTCCTTGAAGGATTGAGTCAGCGGGTTACATACATAGAAGTTTCGATGGCCAATGTCCAAAAAGCAAACTAATCCCCCTGCAGAAGCCACTGGCAAAACAATCAACTTTGTGGGCATTGCTGATATAGAAGGATGATGCCACTTTTTCAAAGAAGGGTCATACATGGCTCCTGAATTCACATTTTCATGGGTAATGGTGTAAAACCATGGATTTTCTTGTGGGATTTCGGCACAATGCTGAGAAAAGCTTTGAGAAGCCAGCAAAGAACTCCATCGTCGGCATACAGAACGGAAGCGGAAAAAAGTGGCAATGGGAAGTCGTGCAATTACTGCCTCAAACAAATCTTCAGGAAAATCTTTCCAGATTTCTTGTTCCATAACTTCACTTGTACAGGATCTTCCTGACGATTTGCCCTTGCTTCGATCTCTTCGAGGCTTCTTAGCGGGTGGAGGCTTTAGAGGCTCCGACATCCTGAAACTATGAGACTTTCCAGCTGCCATTTCAACGCCAAAACAATCATCTACAGAGCCATTTTCGATGTCAAACGCAGTCCATCTGCAAAATGGACAAACCAACATCCATAGGGTCGTCAGCATGATTGACACCAGATAGAAAGGCAAAAAAAGTAATAAGCAAATTTCAGAACACAACTGCAAAAATACAAATTGATATTTTATTCCAACACATGCAGACCGAACCCGCGTGAGAGGATCATTTATACCAAGGGATTTTGCATGCAAGCTAAAAGATATCAAACCAAATGGCAGATTACGTGAAACTACTTAGTGGGGTCTGCTAATGGTAATGGATCAAACTACACCACCATAATGTTCTATAAAAAAAACATGTTTCTAATCTCAAGACATTTCTTAATAGTCTCTCTGGGTCTTACTCTACCTCTAGAGATTTGACTGCCACCCATCTAATACTTTCCTTACTACAAAATTCACAGGTCTTTGTTTTCTCTCAACATGCACAAACCATCTAATTCTATGTTTGTTTCCGCGGCAGAAAACTCATAAACGCACGTCTGAGCCAGAAGCTTCCTTTTATGGCTTCTTAAAATCACGGTAGGAAGGCACTTAGACGTATGTTTGCTTGCTGAAACACTAAACCAAACAGGCACTAAGTCTAGTTTCCATCACTTTTTCTACTATAGGTATCACCCTAACACTCTCCCTAGTACTGTCACTCAGACAGAAGCTATAGGTATCTAAGGCTAGACTCCAACCTCACACTTGAACCTCAATGAGCTTGAAGCACGGATGATGAGAGAAACCTAACAAAAGATCTAGGATAAACACTAATATCATCTTAATTTTTTAATATTTGTCATAACCCATCCTTACAAAACCGGTTTGTAAAATGAAGATTGTCTTCATTTATAAATATATGTTCAGGTCATTTGTCATCATATGTGGGACTCTTAACACACCCCACACGCTTAAGATTGGACATCTAGAGTGTGACCCGAGTGACCTGTTAGAGAAAATTTGATAGCAAGTGGTTTAACCGATCTTAGTTAGGCTCTAATATCATCATAAAATTTGGGTTATATTTAAACTTAGCCTTACAAAACCGGCTCGCGGAGTGAGAATTGTCCCCACTAATAAATACATGTGCAGATCATCCCTCATCCAATGCAATCCTTAAACTGTGACTCTACATAAAGTAAAACCACATAGAGCTTTCCCCATCAAGCCTCAAATCTAATTTCACAAAGGTTCACTAGGTGCCAAACTAGACATTTTCAAAATCACCTTACCTTTGTGCAACAAACATGATTTACGATACCATATTTGGATTCATGTTCAAACCCTTCAAAATCATGTCCGGTCCCCACTAACATGATTTTGGTATAAATATAATTATTTGGTTACTTACATTGTTTTCGCCTCTAAATCTCAATTTCATTAGATGTTAAAAACTACTTTTGTATTAGATGGAAAAATTTTAACTAACAACCTTCGTGCTAAGTAAAACACATAAACTTAAATCACAGCACTTCCAACTCAATTTTAACCAAAATAAATTTTCGTGATCAAGTTTACTGGAAACAACTTTTAGAAAATTCTCAACCAAATACATGTTCGGTGTGCAATAAAGCAAATATATACTTATTCTCCAGCATCTTATTCCTAGGAGTAGATGGAAAGTACTCCTCAGAAATCCCATGTTCATTTGAACGAGATAAAATGAAACCCAACTACAATAGTAGCTGTGGGGATCTAGTTATAGTTTAAAAAGGAGCAAGTTGTACCAGAAGGAATAGTTAGAATGTACAAGTAATCACCCACAACATTGTCTTCTTCCTTAAATATGTACAAGTAACAACCCACACAATTCCTTCTTTTTTAAGGAAGGTGACTTAACACACTTGAACTTTTCCTAAAAATTCACTATACGTTCCATCCAATCAAGGAATGTGAGTAAGATGTAAACTGACAATTCAAAGCCTTCCTATGCAAAATACAACAGCACAGAAACAATGCACACGATCCATTATCTAACAATGTCAATCAAAACAAACAGAACGCGTGGAACTGTTAAACAAAACAACCAAACAAAAGGACATGATCTGAAAATGATCTTGAGAGAAGATTGTTTGCTGCCAATCAATGTTTTAAAAATCAGCCAACAACTACAATTGTGGTCACAGTATCAAGTTTTCTTAATGTCTCGTAGACAGCTTTGCAAATTACAACCACAATCGAGGTTTTAAAAAACAGTCGGTGCCAATATTGATACGTTTATTCACTGTTTTTGCGATGAAGAACAAATTGTGAGTAATTCACACCGCGACGACTGCAACCAGTGTCGCAATATTTGTACCGACCGAAATCGCAAAAACCTTGACCACAATTACTGCCACATGAAGCATAATTTGATAGCAAAATTTCAAAATATCAATAACAGTGACATAAAAACCTTGCTACCTAGGGGAAAACTTCAAATTAGCATTCAAAACTCAAGTGCACCTCCTCCATGTCAAATTCCAAACCCAAACAACCCCAACAACAAAGAGATTTTCAATCAATATAAAACAAGGAACAACGAGAAGAAAATAAAATTTCAGAAAATAGATTAGGAACAGATAAATCTTACGGAGTTTATGAAAAGTTGAAATTTAGGGCATCGTAATTTAGTCCTTCCCGAAAGCGTGGAATGAAAATTAGAAGCAAATAAGAATAATTGCAATGTGGAGTGTTGAAATACCGCACTCACGCGCAGAATCAACCTAACTTACCTAACTGCTTAATTCGCTTCAAAGATAAATAAATAATAACAAAAATTAACAATAAAAATAAATAATAAATAAAAACAATTGACCACAAAAGAAAATAGAAAGAGAAAGAAAGGGCTGAAAGGTCATTTGAAAAATAGATCTAAGAGAAAAATAGATCTAAGAGAGAGAGAGAGAGAGACCTGGGGTTTTGTTGAAGGAGGATAGTGTGATGAGAAGAAGAATGATGAGATTGAGAGTCGAGGAGGTGCTGAAGCTGACCGATTAGCTGCTTCAGCATGGCCAGGCCTTCCATGCCCCTCCCCACGATTTTCACTCTAATAATAATAACACTTTCACTTTTTCTCTCTCTTTCTATCTCTTGTTCTTATCTTTTTTTTACCCACACGCAAACGGAGTTTCTTTTGTTTTGTGTTTTGTTTTTTCTTTTTTCTTTTTTCTTTTTTGTTTTTTGTTTTACTGCTCTGTGATAATCATCACGTGCTAACTACTGCTGCTATATACTCATTCATTCCCCCGTGCGCTACTCTGCTTTTTTGTTTTTAATTAGTGACTATCATCATCATCACTTTCACAATTATGGGATCGAAGGAACAATCTCATTATTCCCTTTCTTTTATTTTATTTTTTGCCCTTACTTTATATATATATATATATATTCTTCAAAGTTTCTCCTAGTTCAATCAACTCTTTCAATATTTTAGATTGAAAGAAAAAGAATAAGACTATTTGATATTATTTGTATTTGTTTCAATTTTTAAAAGATGCGAAAAGTATGTTTTAATTTTCAATCAAGTATTTGATGAGATAGGAAAAAATTATTTTAAGTTGGGATGGTTAAGGATATGAGGATTTATTTATAAATTTGATTTGTTTTATGGTAAAAATTTTAAGTTTATCTATTGTAAATAATGTATTTTTTTTTTATAGTTGTTGGTAATAATTTTATACTTGTAAAAGTACATTGGTGTCACCTTATTAATGATATTTAGTAAATCAGTCGAATCGTGAGAATTTCTTCATTTTTTTTATGTGTGTTTAATTTATATAGTTTGTCTTATTAGTGTTGTATTATATTATTTAATGGTTATGTCCTCTTATCTTACTAAAATCTTTACAATCATAACAGTTTTGTCCTCTTATCTGTTTCGTGAGAATGTGGTATTAGAAAACAATCTAGAGGAGGTGAATAGACTTTTAAAATCAATCAATACTTCAAACCAGAATAATCAGAAGTTTTTCAAATTTTGCGCGCGAAAGTTTATAGAGCATAAATGTGAAATTATACTCATTTGACAATTATTTGTGTAATAGTTCAAATCACTTTACAAATATTGCAATGTCTATAGATGAAAAAACACAATGTATGCAATTGAATTAATTGGATAAGTTACGAGGTGTCGTTAAGCAATTAATCAATAAAACAAATTCTAAAAGCATGATGTTTCTCAAATTTTAATCACCACTAAAGTTCTTGTTAAGTCTCCAATTCCAACAAAACCTAAGCTTATCAAATAAATCGATATGATTGAATTTAAACCTAAGCATGCATGTTCTACGGAATTTAAATTCAATAGTAAGGGATAGAGAGATGACACAGGGATATATAGTGGTTCGACTCTGTCGTTCTCGCGTGAGTCTACGTCCACTTCTTTCAATAATTTCCTTTTATTTTGATAAATATCTCAAGAGTATATACAATTATCAATCCACAATAATGCTGAAGAAAAATAACAAATAAAATCTTTAATTTGGATCTTGACTTGTATATGACTCAATGCAAAACTCTTTTGCGCAATCTTTACTCGATCAACGCTTCGAATTTTCTAATATCAACAATGTGCTCCAAGCCTTTGTGTGTAGCAATCAACTCCTTAATTCTATTGATTTCTTGAGCGGTGAATTATCTGAAGATGTAAAAAGAACTTCGTCTTATTTGTAGTCTCTCACACAGTCACTACTAAGTCAATTCTTGAGAGAATACCCTCTTATTTTTTATTGGAATTTGTCTGCACCAATAACAACAACCTCAATCTTGCAAGAACCTGGAAATATTTTACCCAATCTTCAAGAACGATTAGTTTCAAGACAACGTCTCCCTCAATCAATTACAAATATCTCGTTATCAAGATATGGAATCGAAAATAAGGTTAAAGATGAAAGAATTTCTAATGCAAGGGTTTCAAAAAAGTTCATGAGATGCACACAAACGATTATGAAATTCCTATATAAAAAGTGTTGACAATAGGTTTTATATGTGCTTGAGATTAAGCACAAAAAGACTGGAAAAAAGGTGGTTAGATTCAAATCAAAGAAAGTTCAGTTTTAGGTCAAGTGATCAAGTGAAGTCGCATAAATGAAAATCGGAATTTTGACTCATTTTATAGTTGATTCGAATCAAGTACAAGGTGTGATTCTAATCATGAACCTCGTGATTCGAATCATGTTCAAAAATCGATTCAAATCAAACAGAGCCAACTAGAAAATGCAGAAAAGTGTGTGATTTAAATCATGTATAAAGTTTGATTCAAATCAAACAGAGCAGAAGGTGACCAGAAGAGTGTGATTCGAATCATGTGTAAAAAATTATTCGAATAAAATAGTTGAAAAATTCTCGAGTATGTTTTTGTCTAATTTGACTTGAATCATAAAATGTGTTTGATTCTCATGATTCGAATCAAATATGTAAAATCTCAATTTTTCATATTTTCAAAAGTATTTTAAGATTTTAATTTTCTCTTACTTCAAATCAAAAACATGTATTGTTCCTATTCCACTAACTCATGCAAAAGACAAAAAACCTTATGATCCAGTTCGAATATAACAAATAATTTATACATGCTAAAAAGATTTACGAATCGATTTATATATATTCTTCAACATTTGTCCTAGTTGAAATCTTTGAATATTTTTTCTCTCTTTATTCTTTTTCTATTTCATTTTATTTTTTGAAAGTATCCTTTTCTTTGAATTCGTTTGATGGGGATAATTGGAGAAGAGTAGATTGAAAGAAAAAGAATATTAAATATTATTTGTATTTGGTTCAATTTTTAAAAGACACGAAAATGTATATTTCAATTTTCAATCAAGTATTTGATGAGATAGAAAATAAATGTTTTAAGATGTGATGGTTAAGGATACGAGGATTTATTAATAAATTTACTTGTTTTATGGTAAAACTTGTAGGTTTATATATTGTAAATAATGTATATTTATAGTTGTTGGTAATAATTTTATACTTGCAAAGGTACACTAGTGTCACCTTACTAGTGATGGTGATGGTCAGTAAATCCATACTCAGTCGAATTGTGAAATTTTCTTCGTTCTTTCTATGTGTATATTGTATATAGTTTGTCTCATTAGTGATGCATTATGACTATTTAATGGCCATATCGTCTTGTTTGAGCAAGAACTTTACAACTAAATAAACCTTTGTCTTCTTGCTCATGTATTACCTGTCACGGCGGGAAAATTTGAGAATAAGTTATTGATTAACTTATCTCAATAAAAAATAAGAGTCACCACCGAACTTTACTGTTTCCAAAGGAATGAGAAAAGATCGAATAAAACTCACAAAAAGCATGTAAAGCAAAAAAGCAATGCAAAAATCCAAGCAAAAAACAAAGCACAAAGAGAACATGGTACGTGTGTTAATTATGCAAAGGGAAGGTATTAACACCCTTCACATCCATGGTACTCCATAGGAACCTCTTGAAAATTTGTGTTTGATTAAAAATGGTTGTTTGCAATATGACTAGAGAGATGGGAAAAGATTTTTTTTAAAATAATTTTGATTCGAAAAAACTTCAAGAGTTTTGTGCCTACGTACCTCCAATGTACAATGGAGAAATCAGAACCACGTATTTTTTCTAAAAAAAGAATAAAATTTATTTGTTTGGTTGAGTTTAATGAAGAGATATGTCATCTTATCTGAGTGGAAAACACAATATACTATCAACAACTATGGGAAAGTGAACATTTGCATCATCTTGAGTATGTAGAATTTACAGCTTGGGTTTAAAATCAACAAGTCATATCTCAACATATCAGTGAAAAATGTCTATCATTTTGCTATGTTTGTAGAAATAGGATGGTTTTCAATCATTTATAAAACAAGACTAATATCTAATATTTGAGAAAATATTTTAAAATGAAAAGCCAAATGACAAAAGGTTTGAACGAGTTTTGTATTTTTTAGTCTTTTGAAAGAGTTTTGACATGCTTAAGATGTTTTAAGATTTATTAAGAAAATAAGTTTTGAAAATCATTTGACAAAGTTAAGGTTTATTGAGAAAGAGGTTTTAAGTTTGAAAACAAGAAGGTTTTGAAAAAGTGAGAAGATTTTGAAAAAGTGAGAAGATTTTGAAAATTGAAGAAGATGGGCAAGAGATAAAGATACTATCCTATAGTATAAAGTAAATGATAAGGAAATAAATAGTCTCATTGTAAGGTATCCCAAGAGGAAGGCTTTGTATGTGCATGTGAACTAACCAAGATAAATCAAGCATTTGACATAGTCAAACAAAGCATCTCATTCCTTTGGATTAAGCCACAAGTCAAGCATCAGATTATTTTCACATATGCAGATGAATTTTAAAAGCATCAGATGAACCCAATGTATCAGAACAAGCTCAAAGTATTAGATAAACTCCAAGGTCTCAGATGAAATCAAAGCATCAGATGAATCATATGGCACAAATAAATTCTCATGCATCAGATGAAAACTCAAAGTCACAAATAATAATCAATGCATCAGATAAAACACAATAGACAGATACAACTCAAGGTAACAAATGAAAATCCTAAGGTCTCATATGAAAGTTCCATGGTCTCAAATGGATGATCTAGATGAGTCTTAAGGTATCAGATGAAAGTCCAAGCAAAGTGTTGTACCTCAAAATTTGCCCTCTCCTATCTCAAGGATTCTTAGAATTACTCCAGTCAAGTTTCAAGCCTCATACCACATTTTCTAAGAAGAATCATTCAAATTATCAAAAGGGGGAAAAACGAGCAAAATTGAGTTTTCTGCTAGAAAAGTCAATCGGACGCTAAAAAAGGTCAAAATTTGACTTTTTGATCAAATTTGAGTCCCAAAAAATCACATTATGTCAAGACATCCCAAAAAATGAAATGTGATCATCAAAAATCAAGAGAATCAAAAATCCAACTTTGCAAGACTTTGAAATTTTCTAAGTATTTTCTATACTTGGTTGATTTCATTTTGCTCCACGGCATTTTACTATAATTCCAATTAATTCAAAATGATGCAAGTAATTCAAATTATTACAAAGTGAC